GAGCGTAACAAGGACAGGTGACATTTCTGGGCTCCATAAATTGAAAACTCTCTGCATTTGCCAAATAATTAAAAATCTTGTAATCACTGAACATCACTTTGTTCTGATATAAGGATGCATGCCAGGCGACTCACTCTGATTTTGTGGTTCTTCTGGGGTTCATCACCTTAAATTTATCTCACTCAGGAGTTTGGGCTTACATTCCACAGCAAGAAAAACTAATTTAGACCAAATTCATATGAGATAGAAGACTAGCCTAACATTTGGGAGGAATCATCATTCCTTCAAGAAGGCTAAAAGCCCTGAAGTTTTTCTCGTTGTAATTTCCTCGGCCCCTAGAAAAGGGGGCACAGAAAATTTAGAAAAGACGATACTACTGTTTCTGGAGAAAGCTCACTTAAGTGATAAGTTGTGCAAAGTGAACCTTATATGTCACAAAAAGACTGTTACACATGCTAGGCAGAAGTTTACTGACATCCACAACTAATTCTGAATTTCACTTCATGATTGTACACACACACACACAAAGGGAATCCTAAACACTATCCTGCGAAATTAGCATATTGGGAATTTGCTTGGATCAATTCGAGTGATCACTTACTCTAATACCATGTAGTGAAAGATGGTACAAAAGACAAAGTTAGGAAAAGATATTAGCGAAAACATAAAGCCAAATAGGGGGAAATAGAAATGGGTTCTATTTGAAGATTTAAAGTTCTTTTCTGAAAATTTTGTTGACCTATAAACAAAAAGTAATAAATAACAATGTTTTGTAGTAGTAATGTAAGAGAACCAATGCACAAATAGTCAACTCTTAATAATTGCATAAACCAGGTTTTATGATTCCATTTCTCCCCTACTATTGTTTTCCTTCCAGTAAATTTGTTTTTGAAGGAAGGCTCAGCAATGACACTCAGAATTTTCCGTTCAGCTGTTTTGCATGATGAATTTGTTCCATGTTGATGTGGAGCAACTTGGGCAATTTTTTATTGTTGTCTGACAGGTTCAGTGCTGGGGTTGCCCATTCATTCACTGGTTCTGCAGAAGATCGCAACAAGCTTCTCTCATTCAGTAATCTTTACATAGGTGGGTGCACTCCTGTTTGTCATAACCTTGATTTTGAGCTGTTCCCAATTACTGTCTTGTAGCTTTATACTGCTCTATTCCTTTTATTTTGAGATGTCCAATGAATCTTGATAATTTATTATTATTATTTTCTTTTCTTTGGTAATAAATAGGTGTAAATGGTTGCTCTCTGAAGACTGCTGAAAACCTTGACGTTGTAAAGGGCATTCCTTTTGAGAGAATGATGATTGAGACAGATTCTCCATACTGTGAAATCAAGAACACTCATGCCGGTGTTAATTTTGTTAAATCATCATGGCCTTCTAAGAAGAGAGAAAAGTATGATCAGGAGTCCATTGTTAAAGGTCGCAATGAACCTTGTTTAGTTCGGTGAGTAAAAATGTTTTCATAGAGCTACACCATACTTGTTCTTTTCTCATCTACTCTTTCAGCCAAGGTTGTTAAAATTGGGATTCTAGGTAGGATCGTTCGGGACTCATGGATCTGATTGTAGAATCAAATTGAGGATAGTGAGATATAAAAAAATTATCGATAATGATAATCTTTGCTACATAATTTTAAAAAGATTAAAGAAAATTAGTAAATTTGATATAATGTGTATTCTATGTTAACATTAATTAGAGACATTTGAAAAATGAGTTTATAGTAAATTTTTTTATATAGATATACACACACACATATATATATACACACATATATATAAGAAATAAATAATAACAAAAGAACATTGGTAGGATTGGGAGATCGTAGTAGAATCGGGATCGTATGCGATTTTACATAATTTTATGACTAGGATCATAATTGCTTTAAGATCCTACTAAATTTAAAATCCTAATCTAATCCGGATCGTTTGGCCCAACTAAGGTCGTAGAATCGTAAGATACTTAGATCCAGATTGGGATTCTGATAACCATACTTTCAGCCACATCTGTCTGTAAATGTTGATTGAGCTCTCATAATGTGGATTTTTTTAAATTCAACATCTGCTTTATCTTACATTTGTGTATGTCATGCAGGTTATGTTTTGATCTAGTTTTATAAACTAATCTTACTATTTATTTTAAAATCATATAAAGCTCTTCACTCTTTACTCTTCTAAATAAGCAAACATTTTGTGTTTGGAAAAAAAACATGAGAACTGGATTCACTTTGTGGAGAGTTATTTTCAGATAGAGTTTAAGAAGCCTTCTGTTTGTTGTTTATCTTGTTATTATATATCTATATAATAAATCAGGAGGGTTTTTGAAAATGTTTCAAAATGTCTAAGAGATACATTTTGTTTCAAGGGTTGAAATTAATTCCCAAATTCATCCTAGGGTCAAGATTTCTTTAATTCCCACTCACCCACCTTCTTTTCCCCATCACTCATGCATTCTCTCTCTCTCTCTCTCTCTCTCTCTCCTGCCCACCTTCCTTCCTCTTTCCTTTTTATTTTTTTATTTTCCCCCCTTTTTATTTCCCTCCCTATTTCTTTATTTTATTTTTTTCCTTTTTGCTCACTTATTTTATTTACACAGGCATACACTAGTATATATATTCTAAATTTAAATGGCAATAAGCATTCTGTTTGTTTCTCAATATTGATATATACATAGATATATATTTTTATTTCTTGATTTTGAGGTATATCGTATCTAAACCTTTATGCGAGCAGAACTTGTGTTGACAATTTGAAATGAGTATTGAAGAATTCCGTGCAGACTTTGCAGTCAATTAATGGGGAGAGTGAAAAGATTTATTGTTGGCTATAAATTCTTAGAAGGCCTCAGCAAACCAAGATTTATCTTATTTGTTGTCATGTTTTTTCTGCAATAACAATTCACACTTCTATCCCTTAAACCCAACTTTGTCGACACGATACAGGCAGAGTTTCCTTTTTGGTTTTCCTTCCCCAGTAATAGTGACAAAATTTCTAATTCTAGAACTTGTCGTGGAATAATAACAAATTGATGCTTGATTGTAGGAGGGTTTCTTTGCTAATCAAGAATTATCTAATATCAACTGTAGATACTAATAAAAAAGTTGTCAACACTGGTAGATGTTCTACCTTTCTGGAGTAGATACTTGGAAATAGCATTGTTCTTTCTATATTTTTACTTCATGGTTGTGGAAAAGCTTGCATTTGTTGGTTATTGTTTTTGGTGCCTGTCAATTCTGCTTTTCTGCTGACACAAACTTGATTCGCATTTCTATTATTTTATTTTGACATAAATTTCCCTTGACGAGTTTGCTAAAGAATTTTATTATATTTTTCAATTTGGAAATACTACATTTATATAAGTCTTGGGATCTGTTGCAATGTAAACCTTGTTTGTTGAAAATGATTATATATGACTATTATTGTTTATATGATCTTATTGTATCCACAATTTCTGAATCCACTAGTTCATCCTTGTGATGCTATTAGTTAAATGAAGACATTCACGTTTAATGTTTTTGCATATGATTTTCATCTTGAGATTTCATCCCCCCTGAATGGAAGGTAGTTCGGGTTAAAAATTGGCATTATGGAGTTTGATTGCCTGTACGTTTGTTTATTTAATTAAATGATACAACCATCGTCTCCAGGCAAGTTCTTGAGGTGGTTGCTGGCTGTAAAGGTATCGCTGACATTGATCAGCTGAGCAGGATCTTGTATCACAACACCTGCAGGTACTTCATTGCGTTGTTTCAAGTTCTTTTGTATTCATTTGACTAATTCAGCTTTTAAAAGAAGTAATCAATAGGTGTTAAAATGGCTTACAACTTGATTTTTGTTACTTTTATTTGGGTGATTTATGATTCTTGTCTCTAAGAAATATATTAAAAAGAAAATCAAGAACATTAGAATATAATCTTAGTTTGATATTATTTTCTGGATGATACATTGTGATGCAGGGTTTTCTTCCCTCATGACTTGGATTCTGCAGCAGATGCTCTTCTTTCTGGAAGCCACGGTACCGAGTGAAAGCATTCATGTCACACGCCCTTTTCATCTATGGCCTAATTTCCTTCTCTCGTTTCTACTGAGGAAGAAATGACTTCTATTTATTTTTTCTTCTAAAAGTGTTAGTGTTGAAATTGAATTTTTTGGGTGGAAAATGTACAAGAATTAGATGTACTTGTATGGTAAATTGCTTCTATTGGATATGAAATTTAAGCCAGTTTTGGAAATCAAAATTGTTGGGAGTGCATTTTTGAGGAAAATGGTTATGTAATTTATATGCATATCGTGCTAATTAAATGACCTGTAAATACTAGATACTAGCTTTTCATTTTACTCGGGGCATCGTTTATTTGTTCATACCTGGATGAGTATATATATATATATATATATATTGGGTACATTGGAGGTTATAGCTTGGGAAAGGGGCAGCATATTTATGCTGCTTTATGTTTGCCGTACTGCCAATCAAAGTTGCATGGAAGATGCAACAAAGTATTAACCTTTTTTTTGGCTGGTTTTATTTGATGAAATGAAATTGAAAATTTCAAAGAATGTTTCATTTGGGAGTTTTAGGTATAATTTCTCTCCAGAACATGCTGTCAAGTTGCAGTTGCTGCAGTTAAATCTTGCTTAAAACTGATACTCCAAAAAAAAAAAAAAAATTATTAAACCGAGTAATAAGTTATTCAAATTTTATTTGGAAACTAAACAAACTTTAAAAAGTTCAACACAAGTCAAGTTCAAGTAGCTTGATCCATCTTCCAGTCCTAGCTATTACCTAAGAAAACTATTACCTAAGACAACTGTTGTTTTTAGAACAAATTGAATGTACAAATTGCTTATAGGCCATATGTAAGCTGTGCGTGTGGGTAAAACACACACGTGTGCCCATATGTGTACAGAAGCACACTCTTCTTTTTCCCCCAAACCAGAAAGACAAGCTAAAACAAAATAAAATATGAAAATCTTTTATTTGGTAAGATATAAATTTCAAGTTCATTGACCATTCTTTCTACATTTTCAGAATGCAGATATTAACTTACGTTGCAATACCAACAAAGTCTAGATATCCTAATACTTCAGAATACTTTTCTCAATAATGATACAAGTCCTCATCTGAAGTTTTGAACATTTTGAAATTGAGAACACATCAACAAATTGCAATTACAATCAATTTTCATATAGCCCAGAATAATTACATCTGAAACTTGTAAATTGAAGTAAGAAGCTCCAATTAATAATGTCATTGGTTAGACATCATTTGTGCTCGCTCTCCATATACCAATTAGAATCCTGAGGATGAATGAAAGAGTTAAAAGTAGTGGAAGCTGAACGTCGTGGAACACCAATTTAGTTTGCATCTTCGCAACTCTCTATTATCATCTGAAACACCTAATCCGTCTTTCTCCTTTCCTTGTTAGTTGCCCAGGCTAGAAAGCATTTCCCTGCTGCCAAAATTGTCCTCTGAATTTCTGGAGTCTGCTGGTGGCGAAGTAGGAGCTCTTTCCTCGGCCAGATTCAACCGCAATGGCCGGCCTTCCACCTCCTAATTAAATATTTACATATTATCAACAAAACTATCACTAGAAACTTACAAATGTGTTTATGCTCCGTTTGTTTGGAAATAAAACATTTTCTAGAAAATATTTTTCGCATTTTCTGACATTTGGTACAATAGAAAACAAAGTTCAACGGAAAAAAGCTTATTTGGACAGAAAATATTTCCTGGACAAAAGCCCTACTAATGGCACCATTTTAACACCGCCACCACCACCACCACAACCTCCACTCCATTGACGCTACCATCACCGTCACCACCACCACTAATACAACTATTAGTACATAAGTTTCAAAGACAACCAATCATAGGAAACGTTTTATCTGAAAAACATTTTCTAGGAAAAACTTTACCGTATACAATGTTCTGTGGAAAAAAGTTTTTTGCTGATACAAACGGAGCATTGATTACTATTTCCAAGACATTCTTACCACTCCATTCATAGCACTGAGGGCAGATTCCACCTCCTCAGCAGATGAAAAAGTGATAAATCCAAAACCTCGAGATCTTCCGGTGTCCCTGTCATAGATGACCTTGGCACTTAATAGACCTGGGTGACCTGCAAAAGCTTCTTTAAGCCCCTGGGAACTGAGATTCCAGCTGAGGTTTCCTGCATAGATCTTGTGTGGGGTGTCTACAAAGCTTTGGTAGCTGCTTCGTATCCTAGGTCCCATCACTTCCCTTTCGCCTCCTCTTGGCACTTCTGGGAAGTTTACCTTCACAGTTCGGCCTCATGACCTTTTTAAGAGGCTGGTCAGTGAGAACCACTATGGAGTGAGCTTAGAAATAAGGTCGAAGGCGTCTGGAGGCTATGACCAAGGCGAGGGCCATCTTTTCTAGCAGAGGGTAGTTCTGTTCTGCCCCCCTAAGAGCTCAACTAATGTAATAAATCGGACGCTGGACTGAGCTGTCCTCCTTGATGTGGGCCGCACTGACTGCGGTGTTTGATACGGCTAAGTAGAGAAAGAGGGTCTCGCCCGAGAGCGCCTGAGAGAGTAGGGGGGATTGGCCATGCACTATTTCAATTGTTGAAAGGCCTTTTTAGATTCGGTGGTCCACTCAAAGGCCTGCCAAATGGTTGAGGGCGGCAACTCTGCCCGTAAGCCATTGAACCTCTTTAACCGTCCTGGGAGACTGCATTTCTATCAGGGCCTTGATCTTTTTGGGGTTAGCCTCGATGCCCCGTTGACTGACCATAAAACCCAAGAATTTCCCAGATCCTACGTCGAAGGCGCACTTCTTCGGATTTAGCTTCATGTGATACTTGCATAGGGTTTCGAAGGTCTCTCGCAAGTCTGTCAGATGATCGGATGACAGTTTGCTCTTGACAAGCATGTCATCGACGTAGACTTCCAT